ATTGAGCTAGTGTGACCATATGGTTACACCATGTTTTTGTAAAAATTTGTAAAAAAATTAAAAAACCTTATTCTCCTCATCATTAATAAATATAATTTAGTCATTAGAATCAATAAATTTGCTCTACTTAAAAAATAATAATTCCGCCTTTGAAGGGTTAAGTATTGTTTTTTGTCATTTTGATAAAGTAAGGTTTATCCGCGAAACCACGCGTTTTTAAACACCTAAAACATGTATTTAGAGGTCTTGTTATTTGATGATTTATTATTTTTTTTTATTGATATTTATTTGATGTATCTCTGTCACCAACTTTTACCGAACAAGCAAAAACTAAAGTCAGTGTTAATAACAAGTTACCACAGCAACAATAAGCCATTAGCTGTCCTGTAGTTTAAAGACCTCTGATCTAGATGGCCAATTAATAAAGCTTCATCCCACAATCCACTTACTAAGATAATAATAATAATAATAATAATAATAATTCTCTTAATGTCTTACTTAAGCAGCTTAGTGAGAAGGTACTTCGCCTTGCTATAAATCTAACAAATTTTCATTTAAACCTGGTTTTCATGAATATTTCCCTGGTTTTCTCATTAGTGCACTATTGAAGTTTTAATAATGTTTTTCAACACAACGAACTGTCTCTTCAATTAAATTTCAAGGTATACATAAAGGATCAATAATAGTATCGCCAAATATACCCGTCTATACATAACTTTTTTACGGATATTGTGTGTGTATTGTATATGCCCTTCTCTGAACAGATGTGCGTTCACATCACTCCATTAACGGGCGTTCTGTTTGTTTACATTTTCATTTCGATAAAAAGAACGTAAAAAGTTCAAATCTTTAATTTACACATAAAATTTGCAATTTACTTCCAAGCAAGATGCTAATTCTGCGAAATCTTATTTTTAACAATTTTCTTTTAAAAAGGAAATCAGTTTATCCAAACTTTTCCAAGCGCAGAAAATATTGAAAATTCTTACTTTATTAAATTACATATAATATATAAATATTAAAAGTGAACTTAAAAATGTTAGATGATTTTATTTGAACTGTCTTTTGTGTTGTTTTTATTGCATTTTGAATTGGTTAATTACTTTTTTTGGTTTAATTGGATACTAATATTTTCAAATACCCGACCATTAGACATGGCTCTTAATTTTACCAATTAAAAAAAAATAGACATGTTCGATATCTACTTGTGTAACGTTTAGATTTGGCCTTATAGCGGTTTTTCATTAAAATAGGAATATGCTTGTTTTTGTCCTTGTTCAGTAATTATTAATAGAGTCCTTCTATACCCGCATTTAAACCACGGTGCTTTTGAATCGACTAGCGACTAGATTTCTATCAGCTGAGTGTCGAAGGCGTTTCTTCGCGGGTTTTTTTCCATAGATTCAGGGGTTTTTCTGCGACACTCTGGGCGAGTAGGTGGCTGCCCTGTATTCAAGATGTCGGTCTAGCGTTTCCACCCTGATAGTAATTGTGGGTATATGATCAGTTTGGGGTAGATAGGACCCCTATTTGAGTTTATTTTGTTTAGATGCTTTGTTTGGTTATTTTAGTCCTTTCTGTCAAGAATTTATTTTGTAATAGAAGGCGCTGATAGGACACCTATTTGCCACTAAGGTATGTTGGTATTATTGGATTTTAAAGTGACGTGGTTCCGTCCTTTATGGTAATTTGAAGATTCATATGCTGCGTTTGAGAATCCACATCGGATGCATTTTTTACATCTCGAGCGTTTTTTTATCCACATCGGACACATCTGTCCCATTACATTTACGTATACTGAATCACGTGATCAAAGATTTTTTACATCTCAGATGCATCCGATGTGGATTCTCAAACGCAGCAATATTCGACACGTGGGTTTATTAAAGGTACTGTTTCGAAATTTATTAGAACTAGCTTCAATCCATAATTGGGATATTGCGAAACAACCTTTTGTTTAAAGTTACAACAGTGTGATTTGGTTGTATTTTTGGTGACCACATGTTGTAAGGGCTCTTTTAGGAGGATATATTTAACCACGTGTTGAATCTGATAGGTGAGTTTTTTTGTTTAGCATTTAGATTACAACGTAGTAATTCTTTTTGTAAAGCCATTTGTCCTCTATTTCAGTACCCATATATATATGTAATCTTTTCTGAATAAGATGTCCACGAAATTGGTGATTTGGTGATTTCGTGTGCCCCCTATAGCTGTAAAGGAGTAAATATAGTTTTATTTTAGTTTTAGTTAGACGATTATAAGTTGTTTTTTTTCGTTGTATATATTTTCAGTATATGGGATTGACTATTAAGGGGTAGTATTTTGAAATCTACGGGTGTTATTTGTCTATTAAATGTAATTTTTGGGTAGAACTCGCTTCACGAGCTGTCTATCCTATTGCTTTGTAAATCTGAAGATTACCTACATAAATTAATAAGCCGAATTTTAATTTAATTAGTAAATGTTGAGTAGTTACTACCCATTTCTAGAACTCGCTTCACGAGAAGGCTATGTAGGTATCTGGTTATTTAATTTTAACTTCTTTATTAACCAGGGATAAATAGTTATCGCTGTGTTTTATCTTATACGTTTTCTTTAGGGTTCTTGGTACGTGCCAGTAGTCCTTCTGACGGGCTAACAATCCTTGTGAAGGACCAACACTTCTTGTGACGGACTAGTAAGCTTTTGGCGGACTAGCACATCTTGTGACCAGCTAGTACTTCGTGTGACCGGCTAGTATCTTTAAGACAGGCAGTTTGATTTGTATGCTGCTAACGAAGCAGAGACATCAACGCCTACTAGAGTTTTCCAAGCTGGAAAGAAGTCACGGTTTACCGCAAGTTTTTGCTTACTTATTTTTATATTACTATATTACTATTTAATCTATTTTATTGGAGGGGTTATTAGTACATAACTTTATTTAAACCTAATGTTCACGAGGTTTAGGGGTGTATAATTATAGTACATTTTAATAAACCCGAAAACGTATTCAAGAGCTATTCGTGAGGTATATTACTTATGGGTAACTAATATTTTTAATAAGTAACAAAGTTTTACTTGTTTTTACCCCTAGCGTTTGTATATAGATCACTATTATTTATTTATTTGCTAAATACAGTACACACCTCATGTGTTACATTTTTTTAGATTAGTAAGATTACCCCTAGTCCCATTTAAATATTTTTTAGCGTTTAGTTGTGAATAATACTCCCAGTGATACTGGATTATTGTTAATAGTTGGGGAATTTAGTAGTGAATGTACTAAATGATTTCGATGTTAAATATTGCTTATTTTGAAGTCTGAACGAAGTTGACTCCCCATGTCGACACACAATAATTTATAATTATTAAACTTGGGTATACACATTGAATTATTCTTGTTATTTAACCCCGCTTGCTCATTGTCCAATTACATAGTCAGGTTGGTCAATAAGACCTATGATAAGGTAACGTTTATACTTTAATAGGAGCATACTCAATTTGTAGCCCTTGAAGGCCTTCGTAGAGGTAATGCTTATAGGTTGGCTATTTGGAGTTTGATAGTGAACTGTCATTTGGATTGTTGGATGTGAGCTTAAGCTCCTGGCGCCCACTCACATACATAACTTTTACTACGACTCACCCCTTCTTCACTGTAGTTAGTCGGCATCCAACTTTTGGATTAATATAAATCCCACCTTAAGTGCTTAGGCACAGAAAGTAGGTAGCATTTATTTTTGGCGCCCAACGTGGGGCTCATTTTTTTTTTTTGTATTTTCATATTAAAAAAAAACATTGTTTTGAGTACTTTACCATATTTTGAATTTTCTGGTAGATTGCTTAGCCACTAGTTATAGCATTTAAGCATGGGATTTGCTATTTAACCTAGTGGGAACTAAATAAGATTTTTGGGAAATAACTAAATAATAAAATAATTCCATTATTATTATTATTATTATTATTATTATTATTATTATTATTATTATTATTATTATTATTATTATTATTATTATTATTATTATTATTATTATTATTATTATTATTATTATTATTATTATTATTATTATTATTATTATTATTATTATTATTATTATTATTATTATTATTATTATTATTATTATTATTATTATTATTATTATTATTATTATTATTATTATTATTATTATTATTATTATTATTATTATTATTATTATTATTATTATTATTATTATTATTATTATTATTATTATTATTATTATTATTATTATTATTATTATTATTATTATTATTATTATTATTATTATTATTATTATTATTATTATTATTATTATTATTATTATTATTATTATTATTATTATTATTATTATTATTATTATTATTATTATTATTATTATTATTATTATTATTATTATTAATATTATTATTTTAATTAATGTTCATTTTCTTTTAGTTCAGATCTGAGACATTTTTTTTGTCTGATTTTTTTACTGTGGCTACAATACGAGTATTGCGAACAAAAACTCCACAGCCACTGTGAAAATACATGAAAATAAATTTCCTAACCAAACGCACGTCTAGAAACAATACGTATGATAAATATACGCCATTTTAGAGAAATATATCGGATTTCTAACGAATCTAAGACCGATTTATATTCATTTATTTCGAATTAGCAAACGTCCGTCTCCTTTGTTTCCAGCCCATTCTTTTTTCGTTCTCTGACCCACCGATTCGGAAATTTGATGTACTGATAATGGAATTCATTCATCACCTTTACTTCCGAACGAAAAGAATTCCGAATAAAAGAGAGAAGATGTTTTTTTGGAAATGAACTTAATTCTATCAAAGGGCTAATGGCCTCCCCAGTAACAATTCGATTTCTTTTATGAAAGCTGAAAGATTGTTTACAAAATCAGATCTATAAAACAGAATATTAACTAGGAATAATCTTTCAGCAGTAATAAATGCAAAATGAGAGCGCAGTATTATTAAATATGGCTGTTATTCAGACTCGACAGGAAGTTTTTAAGATGGAAACTTACCACTGTATTCGTACTCGCACTGCTACTTCTATGATTCACTCTTGCAGGATTCGCCGGCGAAGGACTCTGACTAGAAATCTTATTCTCCGGGGGTCCCCCGCCGTTTTTCACGCTAATCTCCAAATAGCAGTGGTTCTCCAAGTGGCTTTGCGCGCGCCGCTCCTCGTTCACTATTCGCCTAGCCGCACGAAAAATCTTATAATACACGATCATCATCACAGTCAACGGGATATAAAAACTACACATGGTCGCGTAAATCTGGTAAGCGATGTCCTGCGATACCAGACACACGTCGAACTTTTTCTCGCCGTTTTCCCCTATTTCAGAGTGTTCGTTGCCCAGAATTAGGAGCGGGGGTAGGGATATGCACGCGGCGAAGCACCACACGAGTATCACCCACAGGATCATTCGTTTAGGAGTTCTTTTGACGCCGTACTCTAGGGGTTTGGTGATGGCGTAGTAGCGATCTACGCTGATCATGCAGAGGTTGAGGATGGACGCGGTGCACGATAACACGTCGAAGCTGACCCACAGGTTGCACATGATCTCGCCGAAGATCCATCTGCCGTTGATCTCGTAGAATGTCGCCATAGGCATGACTAGAATGGCCACGCAGAGATCGCTAACTGCCAGGCTCACCTGAAAGAAGAGATAATATAACTAATTTAAATTTATAACTAAGTAAAAGTCCTAATGGTATACAATTCTTAACTACGTAAAAATCTTAACTGAATAAAATTCCCGAATAAGTAAAATTCTTACCTAAGTAAAATTATTAACAAAGTAGAATTCCTAACTAAGTAAAATTCTTAACTATGTAAAATTTACAACTAAGCAAAATTTTTAACTAGGTAAAATTATTAACTATGTAAAATTAATAAATAAGTAATATTATTAACTAAATAAAATTCATTAATTATTAATTAATATTCTTAACTGAGTAAAATTCTTAAATAAATAAAATTCTTAACTAAGTAAAATTCTAAACTAAATTTAATTAATAACTAAGTAAAATTTTTAACTAAGTAAAATTTCTACCTAAATAAAATTCTTAACTAGATAGAATGATAACCTATGTAAAATAAATAAATAAGTGAAATTCTTAAATAAAAAAATCTGCTAAATAAAATTCTTAACTAGATAGAATTTTTAACTATGCAAAATCAATAAATAAGTAAAATTCTTAACTAAATAAAATTATTTAAGTAAAATTTCTACTCAAATAAAATTCTTAACTAGGTAGAATTATTAACTATGTAAAATTAACAAAAGAAGTGAAATTCTTAACTGAGTAAAATTCTTAAATAAGTAAAATTTTAACTAAGTAAAATTATTAACTAAATAAAATTCATTAATAAATAAAATTCGATAATGATTAAAATTCATATCTAAATAACATTATCAACTAAGTAAAATTCATAACTAATTTAAATTCAGGACTAAATAAAATTAATAATTAGAAAAAACACTTAATTAAATAATATCCTTATAAGAAATTACTCATAATTAAGTAAAAAATATAAATAAATTAAATAATACCTCAGTAAAATTAATGACAAAGAAAACTTCAAACGAGCAAACAAGTAAAATTTATAACTAAGTAAAATTCATAACTAAGTAAAAGTCCTAATTACATAATATTCTTAACTAAGTAAAATTCTTAACTGAGTAAAATACATAACTGAGTAAAATTCTTAAATAAGTAAAATTAAATGAGTAAAATTCTTAACTAAGTAAAATTCTTAACTAAGTAAAATTCTTAACTAAGTAAAATTCTTAACTAAGTAAAATTCTTAACTAAGTAGAATTTTCACCAAAGTAAAATTCTTAACTAGGTAGAACTGTTAACAATGTAAAATTATTAAAAAAGTAAAATTCTTAGCTAAATAAAATTTTAAGCTACGTAAAATTATTAACTAAGTAAAATTTCTACCCAAATAAAATTCTTAACTAGGTAGAATTAATAACTATATAAATTAATAAAACAGTAAAAATTTTAACTAAATAAAATTCATTATTACGTAAAATTCTTAACTAAATAAAATTTGTAAATTATTAAAATTCATATCTAAATAAAATTCTCAACTAAGTAAAATTCATAACTAATTCAAATTCAGGACTAAATAAAATTAATAATTAGGTAAAATACTTAACTAAATAAAATCCTTTTACTAAATAATTTATAATTAGGTAAAAATCATAATTAAGTGAAAAACATAAATAAATTAAATAACGCTAATTAAAATTAATGACAATAAAAAATTTAAACACAAATGAAATTAATAAAGAAGAAAAATTTAAACAAGCAAATAAGTAAAATTTATAACTAAGTAAAAGTTCTAATTACATAAAATTCTTAAATAAGTAAAATTCTTAATTGAGTAAAATTGTTAAATAAATAAAATTCTTAACTAAGTAAAATTATTAACTAAGTAGAATTTTAACTAAGTAAAATTCTAAACTCAGTATAATTAGTAACTAAGTAGAGTTCTTAACTAAGTAAAATTCTTTAATTAAAATTTATTAATAAGTAAAATTTGTATCTAAATAAAATTCATGACTAATTTAAATTTAGGACTAAATAAAATCCTTATAGTAAATTATTTATAATTAAGTAAAAATCACAATTAAGTGAAAAATATAAATAAATTGGATAAAACTAAGTAAAATTAATGACAATAAAAAATTCAAACAGACAAATAAGTAGAATTTATAAATACATGAAATTCATAACTAAGAATAGATAATAACTAAGTAAAATTCCTAACTACGTGAAATTTATAACTACGTTAAATTCATAACTGAGTAAAATTCGCAGTTGAGTCAAATTAATAACAGTAAAATTTATTACTGAGTTAAATTAAGTGGAATAATTGACAAGAAAAATTATAATAGATTAACATAATAGAGTAAATTTTATAATTAACTAAAATTTATAAATAGGAAAAAATCATAACTATGTAAAATAATCTAAGTAAAAATCATGACTAAGAAAAATGTAAAACCGACTTTAATTCATAATTAAGTGAAATTATTAACTAAATAAGGTACATAATTGGGAAAAATTCATAAAGAAGTACAATTAAAAAATATGTAAAATTCATAACTAATCAAAAACTACGTAAAATTTATAAATGAGTATGATTCAATCGTGAGATACTTTAATAATTAAGTAAAATTAATGACAAGATAATTCATAATAGCATTAAATTCATAAATGTGTAAAATTTATAAATACGTAAAATTCATAGCTGTCTTACCTAAGTAAAATTTGTAATTGAGTTGAATTAATAACGATAAAATTTATTTCTGAATAGATAAAATTAATAAGTAAGTGATATCATAAATAATCATAATAATGTACAATTTTTTAACTAAGTAAAATGCATAACAGACAGACTTAAATTTGTAACTAATTAAAATTTGTATTTAAGTAAAATTCACAATTAAGTGATATTCATAACTAAGTAAAATTCTAACTAAATTAAATTCATGGCAAAGTAAAAAAGGTTAATGAAAATTTATAAAGGAACAAATTTCATAATTGACCACTATTAAATAAGTTAGTTTTCCACCAAAAAATGTTTGAAAACACTCACAATTCTTCACAAGACTCTACAGACATGTTTTCATGAAAAACTTACTTATAATTCCCTATCAAATACGAAAATCATTATTAGAGCTTTATTCAATTACTATTTAAATTATTTCTTATACTGAAAAGAGTCACAATGCATACTATATTTTACTTTATTAACTAAGTAAAATCCATGTCTTAGAAAAATTTGTAACTAAGTAAAATTATTAACAAAATTAAATTAATTAAATATGTTTCATAATGTATAATAAAAGCTCCATTAACTAATTAATATACTTCAGTCGTACTGCAACATTTCGGTGGTCTTAAATTATCCTATTATTTCATATAGCTTTTAAATATTAATATGAAATTGGATCTAACTAAACTAAATTAAAGCATTAACTAAGTAAAAATTGTAGCTAAGTAAAATTCATGATTAAAAAAATTTATAAACATGAAAAAATTAGTGATTAAGTAAAATTTATAACTAAGTAAAATTTATAACTAAGTAAAATGAATAACTAAGTATATATCTTACCAGTAGATAGTTACAGGGCCTTCTCAGTTTCCTGACCAGGCAGACAGCCACACAAACAAGGATATTACCGACGATGGTGCCAAGTATGATCGAAAGCAGTACTATAGAAATTACTATACTTTCAACTGTATTGTATCCTGATATTTCTTCATTTGTTACGTTTGTGGTTTCATTTACAATATCCGGTATATCTGTGGTGGAAGTCGCCATACGAAAACTGTCTTGTGTACCTGAAAAAATAAAAAAAAATAAAAATTATTTTTACTAAAATGGAAAGTTGTCAGCATGTAGTTTGCATCTTTATCTAACGATAGATAATGTCGCAGATTAAAGCGACGTTATTGGCAACAACGCCTTCGAATCTTTCTTGGATGTTATCGTCGAAGCAGTGTCATAGGCGCGTTGATAGAGATTTCATAAAGCAGAAACAGGAATTGTTTGTAATAGAGAGGTTAAGTAAAACCCGATCTCTCTAATATTAGTGGAACGCTATTTTACGTTTATAAACAAGGGATGAAACAGACGATATTAATACTTCGAAGGCTAAGACTAGGGGAAAAAAAATTGGAAGATATAGTCAAACAAGTCATTCGTCGTGCAGTACATACATTTTATATTAAAAAAGAATTACTAACTGTAAAGAAAATTGCTTCCTCTCTTCAATCTAATAAAAATCTCCCAAAAATATTAAGACGTGCTCTATTACGTACTTTGCGTGAAATGAACTTCGGGTATTTAAAGAGAAAGAGGAATAGTACCCTTATCTGAAAATATCAGAGTTTCGAAGAGGTGGCAGAAAAATATATTATACAGATGAAACCTGGTTATAGTGCATGAAATTGTATCGAATCCTTTAAAAAGACAGACAATATTGATGTATTTAAAATTATCCTTACCGTGAAAACCTTCACGCCATGTCTGAATATGCATCAGGGTCTTCAGTTGTCCCTGAATTCCCAAGAAACCACTCTTATAGACGTTTTATTCATCTCCGAATAGTCCTTTAAATCCTGAATTCCTCGTAAAGGGTCATTAGTCGTTAAACGTCACTTTAAACTCGTCCTGATTTGTCGTTTTGTGTTGTTTCGCGATGTTCCACCGTCTTCTGCGAGTTTCTTCTCGTCACTAACTTCGTTTTTTTGTTGTTCCGTGATTGATTACTGGGATATTTCACCGGCGTTACGTTCAGCCATCTTGCAGAGACTTTGCGACAGAGTTTCGTCTGAAAAAGAAGGTTATTTGTTAATGAAATTCAAATTGATTGCGGGTTTTATGTAAAACTGCTCGAAGAATTTTATATAATAATAAATAATAAGTCGAAATATATAATAATTGCTTTTATATACTAATAGGTATGTTAAGTAATCTTAATTGAGTACAGTTATTCTACAAAATAGGTAAAATTAGGAAAAAATTAATATAATTAAGACTAAAAACATTTGTTGATGAGGTCATTAAATATTTACAGTAAAAGTGTTTTATTAATATTAAATATTTTCCCTTAAAAAACTGATACGCCTATGGATGTTTTTAATACAGTAACTGATGATGTATTTAGTGACAGGCATATGGTCAGTTGTAGTAGTTTATTTTTTTATCATATCATTCTAATAGGTTTGAGGTAAAACGGCTTAAAATGCATAACACTTTTAAATTTTAGTTTCTACTAATTTTTTTTTTAAATTCTTTATACGCCCTTATTATTAATAGCTTAATGATATTATTGGTATATAATCTGTATTTCAATCGTCTAATTTGCCAAATGTTTGGGTTTTTTATTTTTCATTTCTTCAAAAATAATTTAATTTTGATGAAATTTAGTGAAATTATACCTTTGTATGTGTTAAATAAGCATAAAAAAAAATTTAAAATTCAAAATATTTCGGGATAATAATTTTTTTCTATTCAAAACACTTTTTTTATAAAGAAATTCTACTGTAAAAAATTATCGTACAAAGTTCTTCAGGTACTCATTTTTTTCGTTTTAATATGTAGTTTTTGATAAAATAAAAAATATATTATCACGATTAAAAAACATGCCCAAAACTGGAGAAAAACAAAAAATTATTGTTATTAAGCGTTTCAACAAACTGATAGCACCATAGAATGGAAAAAATATATTTTTTGACCATAATTCTTAATTTTTTATAATATTTCTTCAAACATTTAAATAGAATGGTTAAGATTCAGACAAATACATCTTTTTAGTCGTGGATTTTAAATTTTAAAGCACTACTCATCATATCAAAGTCCTGTTAACAATTCCCTATGATATCTAGCCAATTCAAGTCTCTTCAATCAAGAGAAATCTTGAATTTCTGAACACGACTCTGAGTTGACAGTTGACGTTGACTGTTGACAGGACAATTTGGGCTTTTATAAAAAGTAAACGCTAGTTATTGAATTGAGCGGGAAATATTGTACGTTTTTGGAAAATTAGTTTATCTGGCAGCAGAATTAACTTTTCACGGAAACTCTGTCCTGTTTATTATTAGCACTGGTCATGGGCGAAGTTATGTCATCAGATCTGGGGGGGCTAAAGCCCTAACCCTAGTCATATAAAATATAATAGTTCTAGAGGTATACTGAAGTTAAGTAAAAAAATTCTGGCGAATCTATGAAAATGAATAAAATATCATATATAAGTGAAAAAACTGAATAATTTTCATCACAATAATTTTCATCACAAAAATTTCCCTAATTTTCGCAACAAGAGTAAATATGGACAATCCACTCGAGTTGTGCAGTATATTTTTTCTACGAACTATTAACGAAAATCTACAAATTTAAAAAATTATTTTAGGTTTAGACAAAATAAGCCATTTTAAAATAATTTATAAATTTTATTAATTTATAAAATAAAAAACAAAAAAAAATTAGCCCCTATATAGTCCAGATTCGAACCCAGGCTATTCGCGTGGAAGGCACATGCTCTGTCCTCAGCTCCACCGCCACTTTTAGGTTTTTAATTTTAATACTCGTAAATAAATTACTTTCATACAATTTGATTAAAATTTACTTTTTTAAATGTGGCCCAAATAAAATTAAAATGTTATTTTTTATCGATTCTAAACAAAAATAACTAATTTTAACGTATATGTAATCTTAATGACTAAAAAATATACTGACAGTTTGTCAGAATTTAAAATTTTAAAAATAATAGTAGTTGGATGTCCAAAATATGAACTGGGATTTGTGGATTTCATTATTTTGCAGTTTTCTCGCTATGTTATGTTATGTTATGTTGGGAATGGGGTGTTAATAAACTGCGACCTAAAATATCTATTGTGCCCCCTTCTGTCGCTAATGCAGCAAGGAAATGTCTTAATGCCTATAACGACCCTTTCAATTATATCTTCTCAAGGAAGTGTAGGATTTGGAGTGGCTTCAAGTTTCTATTTGATATGTTCCTAGGTATAGTGCCCTTGGATTCTGGAGTGCTACACATTCAGTTAGAATGTAAATGAAGGTTTCGTCCTTCTCCTCACAGAATCTTCACTCACTATTTTCTACTACTCTCAGTTTACTAAGGTGTCCTTTTAGTTGGCAATGCCCAGTAAGGATCCCTGTTACAAGTGCAGTACTAGAAAAATGTATATTATGATAACAGCTTAAAATACAATCTGGCTAATGTGGAATACCCCGAAAGCCTTGCCAGACTTATCTAATGATCGTCAGGCGCGCTAAAATCTGCACGTTCGATTACTATTCCTCTCCTCGTTTAACTACTTGGCTTGTCAGGTCCGACCGAAATACGGTTTTATAACCGAAACCCAATTTCGGCTCCTTTCTTGGTCGAAACCGAAACAGAAATAAGAATTTTCTTTTAAGGCAATCTCTTATTGAAATTTGCAATATCTTTGTTTAAGACTAATTAACTCGTATTATAAATTTTAGCTACATTTACTTATTACCTATTTATTTATGTGATCAAAAGAAGCCATTATAAAATTTATTGACTTTGTTTTTTTTATTACTTTTGAAAAAAAAAAAAATAAGTGAATTACAAAGTAGCAATCATTTCTGCATATGTCTCTAGATTTTTTGTAACAAAAAATAGTATTATGAAGGGAATTATATAATGTAATTTTTATTTAAAAAAAAAAACAAATTCAGATAATTAAATATGTTTGTTACTTATAATTAAATTAATATTCATAAGTAAACAGTCTAACGTTGTAGACTAGAAATAATATTTTTTCCAAGTTTTACCTAAAAAAATGCTCCTTTGATACGAATAAATTAGGCCAGGAGCACCCGGCGCAGTCGCCATTGTGCCGGACACAACCAAGTGTGATACGTAAACTTTCGAAAGTAGTTTCGTAGTTGGCTGCAGTTTCGGCCAGTTTTCCGCCGAAACCGAAACTGTAGTCGAAACTCTTATTTTAAGCCGAAGTTGGCCAAAACCGTAACCGAACCTTCGACCTTACACTACTTGTGAGTCTGGCAGGCCTTCGTGATTTTAATTGTCAGCCAGACCTATATTTTCACTTAGAATACCACTAGTGCCTAAATTATTTCCGAAATTTTTTTCGAACTTACGAATATTTTGGAGTCGAAGACGATTGATATTTTTCTTAAAATATGCATGAGTGAACAAAAACTTACTGATAATAATTTAGGCACCAGTGGTAGGTATTGGGTAAGGAAATTTTACACCAAAATATCCAAATTTCAAAACTTGACAGACATACATTAAAACGACTAAAATCAAATTTTCAAAGCTGGCCATAGAACAACATATAAAACATATGCATAAAAGAGCTTCTCAACTGTCAAAAAAATTTTCAGTATAATTTCGTTCAGGGTACCCACCAAAAGAAAAATTTCCGGAAATGTTTCATGGAAGCGTTTGAAAATAACGGTATTTGATCTGCTATAAAATAGAGCTGTAAAATTATAATATAATCTATCACATGACAAATTTAAAAATTAGCCCCCCCAAAAATAATTCGAACATTTATCGCACATCTATCCACACATTTCAGATTTCAGAACAGAAATTAATAAATAAAGAAAAATCGTGCCATTTGATTGATTCTGAAATTTTACATTTAGTTCAGGAGGCAGTGAATTTTACTCGTACTCATTTTTCCAATCGGTGTATATGAAAATAAACTGTTCTCTTAGTGACAAAAAACAAACATTTTGAGTCTGACACTTATTTTCCCAGTCATAAATATTTTACATTTACTAAACTAGAACATAAAGCTTATAAAAATAGCAGTTTGGAATATCTCAGATAGTGGAAAGTAAGTGTGGCAGAAAATCTAGCATATAAATTAATACAATCATGAACTGTTAATAATAATAAGTCTGGCTGATTTACGAAATTGGCAAATGAGTCTGGTAATATCTTCAAAATCGAAAAAATATAATATTTTTGCTTTTGGCACTGGTTAAATAACCCCGTCAAAAAGTTTGTAACAAATTTGGCGCCAATCTAATCTACAAACTATTAAACAAACTGTAAAATCTAGATAACTATTATTTACATTCATAGTGCTTAAAGTCTTATCTTAATATATAAACTTTATCCGAGAAAGTTATAGCTTTCTCAATCGCTTCTCCTTAAGGTAAATTATTAATCGTTTCCCAGGATACAAGACCCTAGAAGCGGGAAGTTTTTCTTTAATGGCTTTTTGTCAAAAAGGGAAGTAATTCGCCTACTTCTCAGACATCAGTTAAACACACTTAGGGAAGTACTTTTATTTCCACTCTCTCAGACTTAAACTATTCAACACCTTCATTAATTCTTAATATCACACAGGAATTCGGAGAGGAAAAGCAATTGATTTTCCCTAGCACGGTGGTAATGGAAGGCGCGCTATAACGACGAAATATTATTTCATATTTAATCGCGTTCTTTAAAGTCTATCAAAATTAATAAAAACCCCAAAATATATATTCTATAATCTTATAAAGCAGAAGAAATAAATAAATAAATAGGAAAAAAGTTGCGCATTTAGAAGGAAAATAAACTAGAACTTAACTAGAACTAAAAAAGAGCCGTAAAATAAGTATTGTGAAACTAATACAGGGTTTTTATAAACAATTTTACTGATTAAAATAACAAAAGCTAGATAAAATCTACCTAATAAAACGTGGAAATTAATATAAAAGAAAGCACTTGCATACAGAGGAGTAGATAACATCACATCCAGGGTATCTATTCTTGAATCTCAGGGAGTTGAAATTTTGAGAGAAGAATGAAACAAAAATATAAATTTTGCGCGTTGCAGATAAAGAGGCAAAACCGGTTTTCTATTCCCTCGAATTCAAGAATAGCTACCCAGATGGATGGCTCAGCTACGAGAACTGCAAAGACACAGATAGGGCAGGACACCATCTCCATCTGCACAACCAGATGATGTCCAAAAGGAGGAGTTCTATCCCCACTAATGTGGAGCCTAAACCGTAAACGAGTCATATTTGCTAAAGGCAAGTTTAGAAATATCCTGTGTGATATAGTCCAACGAGGACTAGAATACACCAACAGATAGTGCCGTGAAGTGGGACTACAAACCCTACAAAAACAACACTAGTAGCCTTTACAAGGAAAAGAAAACTTAATTTCAAAACCGTTAAATTAGACGGGGTAGATATAGAATGGAAAAATGAAGTCAAATATCTAGGCCTAACCCTGGACAACAAACTTCTCTAGAACACACATGAGAATAAAGTACTAAATAGGGCCACAAAAACCCTAATGGTATGCAAAAACATTGCAGGTAAACGATGGGGATGTAACCCAAACATACTACGATGTATGTATACTGCAATAGTGAGACCAATCATCAATTACGGAGCTATAGCCTGGAGTAACAGAACTAGTTTAGCTACTACGAGAGCTAATATCTCAAAAGTACAAAAAGTAGCCTGTGTTTGTATTACTGGTGCAATGAGAACCTGTCCTACGGCCGCAATGAAGGTGATCTTAAACCTCACCCCTCTACATTTCATGATAGAGAATGTGGCAAAAAGGACACGATATAGAATGATCAGGAACGAAGTAATCAGACGAAAGTCTACTTGCTTCAGGACTAAAGATACATGGGACATGTCCCAGGATGAAATGCTAAAGTACAGTTTTGTGAAAAACTTCAAAACAACAGAGCTGGGCTGCAAGAAAGAATGGACCCAAGAATCTATCGCGCTTGCAACCGAAAGACGTGCTATTCAGTGGTATACAGACGGTTCCAAAACCATAGAAGGAACTGCAATAGGAGTGTATTGGCCGAGAACCAAGCTTTCCAAAAGCTTGGGAAAATACCCAAGCATCTTCCAGGTGGAAATTCACGCCAGAGAAGTTTAACATCGAGAGAAATTATCATAGACAAGAGATTATCATCATGTCCGATAGTCAAAGCAGCCATCAAAGCGCTGAGCTCTTACGTAATCAGCTCAAAAATGGTCTGGAGATACCTACAACAATTGAATGAGCTAGGCGAGGAAAATAGAGTTACTCTCATTTGGAGCCCGAGATTGCAGATAGTCTTGCAAAGAAAGGGGCTCAAACACCCTTTGTAGGACCTGAGCCGTTCTGCGGTATCAGTAGTAACATAATATTAGGAAAGAATAAAAAGAATTGGGCAGTAGAAGAACCGATAATTGTAACAATCTTTTGGGGCTGAGACAAGTCAAGATAATTCTGGGTGAATATGACCGGAAAAGATCGGAAGCCTACATCTGCCTGAGCAAGAACAGATAATGTTTTGTAACAGGGATCCTTACCGGGCATTACCGACTAAAAGGACACCTAAGTAAACTGAGAGTAGTAGAGGATAGTGAGTGCAGATTCTGTGAGAAGGAGGACGAAACCTCCATTCACATCCTAACTGAATGTGTAGCACTCAAGAATCCAAGGGCACTATATCTAGGAGGATATCAAATAGAAGAGGGAGATTTACTTAACTTGAAGCCACTTCAAATCCTACACTTCCTTGAGGAAATAGGATTGGAAGGGTCTTTATAGACAATGAGACACTTCCTCGGTGCATTAGCGACAGAAGGGGACACAATAGATCTTTTAGGTCGCAGTGTATTAACACCCCATTTCCAACATAACAACGTAACATAACATGAAAGAATAAAAGTGCAAGCTATGAAATAGGATATAATAAGAATAATATAATGTTTGAATGACAGCTGTATGAACTCACGTAACTAGTATCTGAAATATTTTCAATAAATTACTAATTGCTTGTTTCGTTTTTTAACTCTAGTTATTTCAGTCATAAGAATATCAAAAAAAAATTAAAGTAATGTTTTATTTTATTCACAACTTTAATTACCTGTCATTACGCCTTGATCTCAGATCAATTGGTCGGAGCTAATGTTGTTAAAACGAATCTAAATAGACAAACTGTAATCTTTAAATTATTTCAAATAATTTTTTGTCCAGTTAGATTTGTACTGAGGCATTATATCTGTTAATGAAAATTTCCTGAGTCTGGATCCCCAGGAAAATGAGAAAAATAGAGAAATTCCACCAGTGTTCTCCATATTTTATGCATTTCCCGAAATAGATTATGAAAACTGAATACTATTGTGACTATGCAGTAATTCATAATCTTTTATGTATCATTTTTTACTAAGAAGAATCAATAATTTTGACGTTACTTGATATTTTCTTGTATGTTTTTCCTTATTTTCTCCACACTGTTCGTATACTCAAAGACAAAGAAAGATACAACAGCAGAAAGATTAATACCTTAACAAATCTTTTTAAATCAGTCTCCTATAATATTACAATTTTTTTTTCTAGAATTACCCATAATCCTACTATGCAGTGGCGTAACAATGATTCGCGATAAAATGCTAATATTGAATAATCTTTAATTTACATAATTTTATTGATTTACGTAAAATTTTGTTTAACCTACTTTGTATGAAATGTTTGAAAAAGTTGACAAGAAATGGGAATTTTTTATTATTAATTTTACAAAAAATAATAATATTTATAAAAAGTTCTGCATTAATAAATCAATAACGAAGAATAAAATTTGTAAAATATTTAGTGGTATACAAGGAAAATAAAAAGTGCATTTAAATTTAAGTATAAAACAAAAAGTAATTTAAAATATCCCCTGTAGCTAGCAGCATGTCCTATGCTGCAGTAAATGCAT